TGTGCTGATTTGTTTGTTTTTAATTTTTGCTCTTAATCTTTCCTTCAGTATTGGTTATATAGTTTGTTTAATGGTTTTATTGGTTAGGTGCAGCCTTAGCCAACCAGTTCAACACATCTGGAGGGCACAGAGATGGGAAGACTATTTTAATGCTTTATAAAATTGCTAGAAAACAGTTTAGTTGCCTCGACCAATTGAAACACTGAAATTTAAGCCAGTTTGGAGTCTTTATATTAACAAAAATCAGATGTTTTTTCCAGATATGTGTATATCAGGAAATAAAATATTATAATTTGCAATAATATTCAAAATCTGAAATGTAGTTTCAAAATGTTTATTCATAAATCTATAAAAATATAGTTCACAATTTTGAAATTAAATTCACAACCAGAAAATTTAAATATTATCATCTGAATCTCTCTTGGGCTTTTCTGATCTTTATTAAAATTAATCTGTAGATTTGTACTTTCATTCTATAGAATCTCTATATCCCATGGTATGTACACAAAAATGATTAATTCAAATTGGTTTTCAATGTAGTAGAAGGTTCTTCTGTTTTGCAGCAGAACAGTTACTCCTCTGCAAATTTCTTCACAGAATTCTTACCAAAAAACAACAACAACTTTGTTATGTTTTGGTTTCTCAATTCTTTCTCTTTCCAAATTTTACTTTGCAAACAAACGGGATTTTTGTGAATGGCTGAAAACAGCTGAATCCCATCTTTAAATGTTCTGTGTCCCAACAAAAACTGAATTATAATAGTCACTTTATAAAATAGCTAGAATTTGAAGAATGATGCTATTGTAGGATCAAGAATCCTCAGTTTAAATAGATTTACCCATAAAGTAGGAGGAGTTATACTTTCTCCTTGCATACCTTATCTAAACAATACTGACACAGGTCATTAAGTCCGATGAAGATAGTGACTAACTTCCAGTCCTCCTTATAGTTGAGGTTCTAGTGAAGAATAAAAGAAATAGGGTCCAATATTATAGATGTTAGAGATGCTTTGGGGATAATAATGAATGTCCTCAAACGCTTTTGCCGTGGCCCCCTCAAATCTGTTCCCTGGAACTACAGAGGTTGTTGATGGTAACACTTAGACTTGTAGACCTCAAGTCTGTTCCAGGGAAGAAGGACATCTTTCAAGTGGATTCTAAACCTCATCTTTTTTTCAATTTAATAATGGCAATTATTAAATGCTAGTTTTCTTTCTTGAAATGTCAATGTATTAAGTATAATTTGTTGAAAATAAGGAATCAGAAGATATTTTAAGCTTGTTGCATTATTTTTGCTATTCAAATCAATTTGTCTTTTAATGATGAGCACCTTTAAAGAATGTCAACATCAAAAATGTAATTACCTTTATCACTAGCACACATCACTTTCTTCAAGCCTTAGACTTTCTCAGACATCCATCTCAAGTCTTTTCATTTAGTCAAATGAACCTTCAGTTGTTCCCCTTTGTCTGACCATATTTCTGTTTCTGGGAAACCCTCCATATAAAATGGAAGAAGTGAAGGTTCCATATGTGGAACAGCACAGATTGAATGAACCTGCAACATTTCCTTAAATTATATTGTATAACCTGATATAGATGATTAATATATGTGAAATAGAAATTATAAATACGGGAGAGGGGGGGAACATGAGTTCTGGCTATAAACACAACACAGTGTCTGTCACTGACTAAAACCAATGAAATTAAAGTGTTCTGATTGGGTCTTACAGAAATAAACAGGCTGAAATCTGTTCTTTTGTCTGTGGTTCTGCCTGAACATTGGGGACAGCAGTCAAGAGGTTACTAAAAGAGAAGAAATAAATGCCAGATTTGTTTCCCTTATATTTGGCATATGGCGATGCAAAAAACCACCAACTTCTTTGGGTTCCTCTATACTGGAGGCTTCAATTCACAATGGATTTTAGAGATTGGGTTTGTAAAGACTGTAACCCTTCCATGTTAGCCTATAAGTAAAGGAAGGAGAGGCAGAAACATTTCTTTGGTGATGCATTAAAACCAGATTGGAGTAGCTTCAGGCACTGAGAATCCTTGCCTTGGAATGCTGGAAAGAAAGAAGGGGAAGGCCTTGGGGTGGAAGGGAAATTCATATTCCTGAGATTGGGAGCTTTGTGGTATTTAGCTAAAACTGGCAACTGTAAACCTACGTCATGGACCAGCCAACTGTAGGAACCGCTGAGGGCTGTAATTCTGTGGAAAACATTCTGTAACATGCAAGACAGAAAGGAATAGATGGAGCTATTTTTAGAGCAACAAGTTTACATGACAAGCAGTACTGGTGAATTTATCCTGGCCTGGGAATCACTAATGGTGCTGATTTCTTGTCTCATTAATCAAATTTCTTTCCCTGGCCTATTACTTCGGCTGACGTTTACTTCAAAAGATGCCTGCAGTGTTTGACATCACTTCTTTCTGTTTTGTAATCAGGGATCATGATCTCTGGAACCCAGCAGAGACTTTTGTTCAAATGTCAATGTTTCCACTCAGCTGCTCCCAGGAATAGTCAGAGACAGAGGCAAAGAAGGGGAGGGAGAGAGGGGGAGAAAGAGAAAGTTTAAAGGAAACATGAAAATGCAGAAAGGAAAATTAATTCTCTTTTTCTACGTATCTTCACTATGTCAAAAGTAATGGTAAAGCCTCCTTCGAATCAGCTCAACTCCTTATGACAATATAGACCCTTGCATGTACCCAGAAGCTTCCCCAGGGTCCTTTCTCAAAGTAAAAGGAATAGGGTGGGATGTTTCTCACCTCTTCCTCTTTTTCTAATCAGCCCTAAAAAGCTTGCATTAAAAGAAAAAAAGTCTGGCAATGCTTCTGAAAGACATTCAAACAGAGATCCAGGGAAAACAAGTTATATGAATGTTGGGCAACCACTAAGAACATGTTTCTTTATCTGTGCTTCATGTTCTCATTTAATGCATAGATTATGAATTAAGAGGTTTCTCTCTGAATTTGAGAAAACAAGGCAGTGGTAATTCCTTGCTCAAGGAATTATATGTTTATATGTTTTTATATGGACTTATTTATGTTTTTCTTGAATTGTACCCGCAAGATAGGGAACATTTTGGAGCTAAAACATTGTTTTAGCATGTCCTTGGTGTCCTATGTCCCTGGTATCTGAGCTATCTCATTGATAAGTACTGAAAACTGCTTATCCAGGCAAAGCTGAAATTCATATTACTGGACCCAGTTCTTGAAAGAGCCAACCTTACAAAGCAGGGTCCCTCGTAGGTTCCAGTACCATGTTAGACATCTTAAAGAGCCATTACTTTTGCTTCCACTTCTTATTTTCTGTTAAGTAAGAATAGTTTTGTAGCACCCTTCATCTGCAGATACTACTTAGCACATATATGTTCTGTTCAGATCAGATTAATCTTCACAAGGACAAAACTAAGAAGCAATTGAAATGATATGCAGAAAACAAAGATCAATCAACCCCACCTTCCCCAACTATCAGAATTCCAGCAAAGTTTCCAATAGTCCTGTAGCCTGTTTTCTTTCTCTTCTGCAACATCTCCTAAGTGGCTGATATTAGCCAGAAAGGTAGAGGGAACCAGGCCTAATCAAAATTTAAAGAATCATACACTTGCTCGGGAGCTTTGACCAAAGGTTCTAGAGCCTTTGAATGTGATGAATACTTGTGAAATTTAGCATGTGCACAGCTTAAAAGATTGGAATGTGGATAGCAATAGGGAGAGCTATTGAAGAAAGTAAGGTCTCAGAGAAGCACAGACAATAAGAAACAAGACATGAAAACCAAAATAAAGCCCTGTCTTCCCCTGCTGAATACTATATAGTGGGGGCTTGTTTCTACAGTAAGCAAACTCACTGTCTCCACTGTCAGAAGCCTCTCAATCAATTAAATAATTAATCTGCTTGCTTCATTTCTGCCATTATGAGAAGGGGGGGGGGAAGGAAGAGCTGTTAGGTGCAGGTAGACCGTTATCTAGTTCCCAGGAAGGCCCAAGGTCGTACCAACCTGAGACCTGGGAAGAATTGAGGACACGCACGAGATGGATGATGGACTAGACAGGGGGGTGCAGGAGGTTGGGAAAAAAAAGGGGTTTTGGCATGCGTGGGCTTTTAGTCTTGGCAATGGTCTAGAATTATAGACTGCTTCTCAATAAAGAAATTCTTCTTTGAATCTATTCTGGGTTTCAACTAGATTTACTTTTATTGGGAATTGAGTTCAGCAGATTCTTACATCCACTTTGTTTACATAAAGCAATATTATTATTTCAGTTTCTGACATGACTGCAGCTGGATTGTTATTTTTCATAATATAAAACTGCAGTTAGTAAAAGGTAGGCAGGTAGTGCTTATAATGATTGGTAAGTATCCTGACAAGTCATGTAGTAAGGACTGAAAGCTAGAAGGATGGGCCAGAATTCTCCCTTTTCTCCCTCCCCCCCCCACTTTTTTTTTCTTTGTTGCCCTTTTACCTGTTGGCATTAAAAACTATCACAATTAGAGATATAGGTTTGGATCCAAAGAGCAAATGGAAGTTCCTGGTACTCGTTGGTTTCATTGATCTACTGGCATCCCCACTGCTTTCCAAAGCCAAAAGCACATCTAGAGATCCCACCACACCACTCTTGGGAGTGCAGTAGGAATAAATATCTTCCATTCTTTGCAATGTGTTAAATTGACATGCATGATATGTTTTATTTTCAGCAGCAAATACGATCTTAATATCATAGCAATATAGAATAATCTGCTGTAGATAGGCATCATGCAATAATGAATTTATATTACATTAAAAGGGTATTAGAACCTTTTTATAATGATCCCAAGATATTGACCACAATTACTATCTTGACCTGTGCAATGTTAAGGAAGACTACTTCACATAGAAGAGTCTAGATTTTATTTTAGGCTTCCGAAATGCATAAACTTACCGGGCTACTTTTCATGAGTTCTACCAATTCATGTGCTTGGGCTGAGATATTCCTAGAGAGACAAAGAAGAAAAAATGTCTAACACATATCTTGAAATGAGTTCTACCAATTCATGTGCTTGGGCTGAGATATTCCTAGAGAGACAAAGAAGAAAAAATGTCTAACACATATCTTGAAATTGCAAGCTCAGTGAAGCAAATAAACTGTGAGTGAGCTATATCATGGGGAAGAATTGGGATTTGAGAACTCCCAGTTGATGTTCATTCTGTGACTTGAAGAGTTACTTCTAATCATTCTCCAGCTGTCAACAGTCATTACAAAAAAACAAAGATGAAAATAAACCACCTTCTTGTGCAACCAATGTACTGAAATAAGCAATGTATCTGGGGAGCCTGTAATTCATGAAAGTTGTGAGTCCTCTTGCATGAAATGAAAAATGACAGGAAGCTGTTTTTCTGTTAATAAAATATGAGCTTTACTTTTGCATGACTTCTCAGTTTTAACATATATTTCTCATGCATTTCAATGATCAGATTTAGGTAATTTTTTGCCACTGGTAAGTCATTAGAACTGACCCTGAGGTCTACTGCAGCCCAGGTTGAAAACCGAATCTAGCTCTGCTTCAGATTCCAAACCCTGAAATATATTTTCAGGCTGCTTCTCTTCTCCAACTTTTATCCTTATAATAACTCCATGAAGTACCAAGCGAGGGTTTTTAAAATATGGTTTTCTGAACCAGCTATTGTGATTGGGCTTTTACATACTGCAATGCTATAACAGATGCATCACCCTTATGCTAAGCTAGAAGCAAATAAAACACATTAATATTTAGCATTATCCAGGAACCAGCCCTATGATCCAGGCATGGCTGAATGGGACTATAATGGATGTATTCTGTTACACTGCTCTAAGTGACCATGTGAAAAACATCACTAGTAACTGATAATAGAAAAAGTAATGAGTGCCCCCCATTCCTTTAACTCCCCTTGAACTCCTGAAGGAAAGTCAGGAGATAAATCTAATGAGTTAATTAAGCGATGAGATCAGATCATTTTGTATACTAGGAATTTGCAGAAATCAAGTTCTTCAAGCATCATTCACTTTGGGTGATTTTGCTTCTTCTCTTTACTTTATGAACTGTCACCGCAAGACCAATATGTTTGTGTGTGTATCAAGAAAGAAATTTTTCATGAACAAGAACAGCAAGTGCAATATATATTCCCTGGAACAGTGGATGCGCAGGTGAATAGTCATATTGCAAGACAGCACCCACCCGCCAACCAGCCTTCCTTCTTGTCAAAAAGCAGAGAAGCTTTGATCAATTATTTTGTGGAAGGATTGGCTCTGACAGTCTGCACTGAAATTTAAAGCTTTACATCTCAAGGTTGTACTTGAAGGCAATGACTGTTTCACAGCCATGCTACCTAACCTCTAACTCCCTCTGCAGTCAATTTAGTGTTTGGCAAAAAGTGATCAAATGGGGACTTCGATGTCTAGGATTGCCAAATGCATTTAGACAGGTATAATACTGTAAAAGTTTGAATAGTAGGAGATTATGGTTAGAGCTTTACATCAGACTGATACCCTGAGAGGGTTGAGATGAAACATAGAAAGAATATGGTGGACTAATTTAGTTAAATTGTCTATGAAAAACATATGCAATTATGGATTTAATGAGGTAAGAGTCACATCTTAAAACTGCAGTGCTGTACCAACAGAATATGGGTTCATGAGTTTGCCAAGAATTAATTCCACTTTGATGGCTGTCTTCCCTACTGCCAATGCCCCTGATCTCATGCTATGGGCCAACAGATCCCTGGATTTTTCCAGTCTTGTGATTCCCATCCCATTGAGTGGATGGCCACTCAAAAGACCTGAACTGGCATCTACTAGCTCAGATGTTTCCAAGATAGACAGAATTATAGAAATCAGTTGGATTTGATCAGGATTCAGCTTTTACTAAGTGAAGTGGAAGTAGTTAAGAAATCAACAGGGAGAATAGAAACACATTTGGGACAACCAAGAGCTGCTATTAAGGACAGCCTCAAGGATGGGAATCACAAGACTGGAAAAATCCAGGGATCTGTTGGCCTATAGCATGAGATCATGGGCATCGGCAGTAGGGAAGACAGGAAAGCAAATGATGAAGCATGTGTGACAATGTCATCACACAAATGCCACAATTTATGTATTTCTTTTAAATATCAGGACAACAATATATAACCGTGACATTTGTATGAGGATGTTGCCTTGTTCATTGTCATTTTGGCATCATCACGGCTTCTTGTGGACTTGTGGCACAGATGTGCCTTGCTAAACAAATAGAGCTTAGTCATTAATTCATTTCAAAACAATTTAAACAAATAGCAGAAATAAATTCCGAAAGCTCTGCTTCTACTTAAGCATATGATTAAAGATCAGACCTTTTAAAAAAATAAAATCAAGCAGACAGCAACTCCTGTTGTGTTCTTTATGGCCAGACTTTCACAAGAACTGGATTAATGGAAGCTCAGTTTGTTGCACAATCTGGTGATGTGTCTTCCAAGTATGCTATATAGGAGTTTTAAAATGTATTTAGATTTTTATTCTCTATTCTTCATTGAAGTTTTCAGAATGGTTTACCAAATAATACCATCAGTGGTGGGTACAGGACTTCAATGAAGAACAGAAAATAGGAGTCTAAATTAATTTTAAATCACTTTCTTATATAGCATACTTGGAAGTTATTTCATCAGTTTGTTCAATGAGTTCATGCTGTGGGTATTTGGCTCCCTGGGTTTTTGCAATCTTCTAATTCCCCAGCAAGTTCATCAAAAGTCTTGTTCAGGTGATACTTTTGCATGCCAAATTCTGGAGAGGTGGCTATAAGAAACAACTAATAGTATAATTTTAAGAAAAGCCCTCAGCTTTGGAATATGCTATGGTTTAGTGAGGCTAAATACTTTACTAATATTTCAGTCATGGACTTCCTTGCCCAAATGTCTCCTAAAGGAACTTACCAGCTCGTGGCTCCTCCCACAGCTACATTGAACCCAGCAGTTTCTTTTTGGGTGCCAGTCGAGAAACCAGTGAGGCCTGGATTAAATTTCTTCAAAATATCTGACAGAGAAGGAGAAACTCAAGGTCAATGTTTCTGCAATAAACAAGAAACAGCATCCCATCCCCACTGGTGGTTTTGCTTTTAAGGGTTCTGAGTCCTTACAAATCACTGAAGGTTACTTCACATTTTACAAAAGTTTTCATAATTATTCTGGACAATTATTGGAAGAAAGGCAGCTATGAATTCTTAGTTTATAAAAGTCTATGTTTGAATCCCTATGTGTTCATCCACCACTGCACTACTAAATGAGAAGTGCCACCTCTGTTTTGGATAGGCAATTCACTTGAATGGCTACATGGTAAGCAGGTATAACATGGTCATCTTCATGTTACAATTAATGGTATCTCTTGAATTTGACTGGTGGAAATGGGTGAGATTTATCAGAATTCATAAAAAGATGGGCAAAAATGGGATTGGAATAATTAGAATGTGGGAGACAGCCATGTATTTCCCACCAAATTCCTTGATTCCATTACTCTTGAAAGACCAAAAATATAGTATCAGTGCGAAATTCCTTCAAAATTTAACTGGATGGAATCAATTCCTCCATCTTTGCCATGAAAGATTTACAATTCTCAGAATTCCTGCAATGTGAGACATTTTATTCATGATATGTTTTCACACATTATCTTTTCCTTCCACTTAAAGTACGTATGGGAACAAAAGTGTGATAGGTAGCATTGAAAATGGATTTTTATCATAGATCAGGCAGTCACTAAACATGCCAGTTGCTTGATTAACACATTTACATTCCATTTCAAGTAACAGAAAACACATTTCCCACACTGAGGTAGCAGTATAACAAATGATTTAAAAAATTACCAGGATACTAATATTTTATTTCACTTTCAATCACTGTCCCATTTTTAATCTTATCTTATCGTGGTGGTTCCAGGTTGAAGGAACTCAACTAAAGAATATATCCAGGGAATTTTCAGCATTCTAGGTGGCTGCCTGGTTTTCTTCTTCAATTACATAACACAGCCATGACCCTTTTAGTCACTTGTCCAGTCAGATTTCCTTACTGGTGGTTCCAGCAACACAGTTACAATAACTGAGCCAAACTTTACAATTTTGTAACACACTCTCTACTAATTTCTGCCTGATAACCTATGATGCCTTGCATTTTTAAGTTCAGTTAGATCAACTCCCTTTTTCCCACTGGCTAGGTAAATGGCAATAGGTGGGGGGGGGGGCGCAGGGCGGGAGAAAAAGGGGAATGGGCCATATACCCCAGCAACAATTCACACAATGCAATGCAACCCCAGAGGAAAGTAGATAACCTACAATACAGAACAGCTCTACATCTTCTGTCAATCTTTCCCTCCCAAATTGCCCATGAGGAGAAATACTCTGCATGGAAAGCAAAGCCTTCCATGAGGAAAAAAAAAAACAACAGCAGCAAAGGACACAGCCTTATAGGGGAATGTGCCAGCCCAAGTGAGGGACAGGGAAAGAGAAATACAAGTCACAAGCCCATGGTGTGGCATAAGACCACTTGTCAGGCAGAGAATGGGGAAGTGAGAGAAGCACTAGGAAGTAACTCAGGGCATACTCCTGGAAGCCAGGACACACAACCAGGACTGGCAGGCCTTCAGAAACCCAGGGCAGCAAATGCCAAACCCCATCATATGTACCTGCCATACAGGCCAGGCTACCAAATAGCTTTGCATAGAGTGTTCCCGTTTACTTTCATTTCAAAGTGTAGGGAGTGTGTAAATGTTTTGGCACAAGAGTGTCTACTGAGTGGGTCTTCCCCCCTCATTTGGACTTGTTGCTGGTTGTAAGTGCTTGCAGAAAGAATCTCTTTGATCAGGCTAACCTAATTCGTGTATGGCAGGTGGGGGTGGGGATCAGTTGGCCTCTGTAGCCGAGGGAGCAAATGACTGCAGTAAGCTCCACCATGGAGAGACCTTATCTTTTCTACCCACATAATAGCCCCAGCTCTTTATTTTGGAGGACTGAATAGCCAGGCCTGGGCAACTCTTCTATTTTTGATGGGATTATGGTGTTCCCCTGATGGCTGACCACAGAAGGTACATTAATTCCAAACAAACCTAGTCTGCTTTGGGTTAAACCTGTTCCTCCCTAACCCCACAACTGATTAATTCCACTCATGATCCAGTTCAGTATGCCATGAGAACACAGCTGACATACCTCTTCATATGATGGAAGTAACTCTTCCCCACTTTTGGAATTAAATCACAACTGGTGGCCAACTGTATTGTAAGTTGTGCTTTACAAATCATTATCACATCATGCATGGAGACCAGCCCTAAACTGTCCATTAGATTAAAACAAAACAAAAAACTTTTGGTAATTTGCCTTGAGTACTTCTAATATTTTTTTCAGAAGTTCTGTCCAGTTGTAGGGAAATCACTTCCAATCCCCCATCAGCCACCAATTTTCATAGGAAAAACCTATTCATCTCTCAATAAGTCATTTATAAAACAATACTTCATCCTCATTTGGGACATAAATTCCCAGTATCAAAGTCTTAGCCCCATGCAAATTAACTTCCACCTCAACAAATCTACCAGACTCAGTAGACAATACAAGGTCTGGTTTTAGTTGGGATTTATGTACAAAACAACTCCATTTCTTTTGTTGTTGCTCCTGCTGCAGAAATAAATTTTTCACTCAAATTTTTATGAATCAAATATTTTATGTCCTTTTTTCTAATATGTGTCTCTTGTAAACAAATTATATCTTATTTTAATTTTTTCAGATAATGATTTTTTTTCCTCTTTTGAGGAGCATTTGTTCCTTTTTGGAGAGAACTTCATAAAATGAATAAGATCGATCTACACTTCACAGAAAGCACAAATAATTGCTAATGGAGATTTAACAAAAACCCTGTGAGATACAAAAAGGAACAAGACAGGATGCCCACTGTCCCCTCTCTTGTTTATTTTAGTTCTGAAAATATTGAATAGAGATATAAGACAAGATAAGAGGATTGTGGGAGTAAAGATTTAAAAAAGAAAGTTATAAGTTAAGGGCTTTTACAGATGACTTGGTGTTGGTTCTGGAAAATCCTTTAAAGCGAATTGAAATATTAATGGGCAAATTAAAATAATTTGGTGCATTGGCAGGTTTTAAGATTAATAAAGAGAAGACAAAGATGTTAACAAAATATGAAAATAGAAGATCAAACAGAACTGATGAATAAAACAGGTTTTAAGATTGAGAAGAAGGTAAAATATTTGGGTATCATTATGACAAATATGAACTGTATGTTATTTCAAAATAACTATGTTAAGACATGGAATGAAGTTAAAAAAGATATGAATAAAGAGAAGACAAAGATGTTAACAAAATATGAAAATAGAAGATCAAACAGAACTGATGAATAAAACAGGTTTTAAGATTGAGAAGAAGGTAAAATATTTGGGTATCATTATGACAAATATGAACTGTATGTTATTTCAAAATAACTATGTTAAGACATGGAATGAAGTTAAAAAAGATATGTTAAAATGGGAGAAATTGCAATTGTCATTGTTGAGGAGAATTTCTGTGATAAAAATTAATGTCTTACCTCGAATTACGTTTTTGCTTCAGACAGTACCTGTTTTGACAACTGATGCACCATTTAAACCTGGCAGAAGGATATATATAAATGTGTGTAGCAGGGGAAAAAACATGAATTAAATATAAGGTGCTACAAGATGCAAAGGAAG